GCTGATGCTGGGGTTCTATGGTGATGGGGGTGGGGGGCGGGGTTTGGGTGGTGGAGCCCCCAGACTAGGCGCTGTGGCTCAGCTGGTCCAGGGTCCATAACAGGGACGGCAGACAGCTGTGCTGGGTGGGTCACTCCCTCAAGCTGTTCTTCCTCTGAGTGAGGAGACATCCGTCTGCCAGGCGTGGGTGCCAGGACCAACCAGTTGTTGGGACCCCACCAACCCAAGGCAGAGCCACGAAGGCATGAGTCTGCGCTTAAACCTCAAAGCAGAGCACAGGCTTCCCAGTGAGCACTGCCATTTGAGGCAGACCCTGGGGAGTGAAACTGCCCGCTCCAGACGTGCTCCAAGACTGCCTTCCTGCCAGAAGTCCTCTTGGGACGTAACTCTGGGGCCCGTCTAGAGCCAGTGTCAACTGTTTTCTTAACCCGTGGTCTCTGCTTTTCACCAGAAGTGCTGGTGTCCAATGTGGCTGCCTCACCCCCAGACCTGGCTTCCAGTGGGCTCTGGCTGTTCCCACATGTTGAATTCTTTTCAAGGAAAGGACACTACTCCACTGAAGGGATTCACAAGAGCACACTACAGGCTGGGGAGGTGCTTTCCAGAAAGCGAGCCTGAAGGAGTTTGCAGCCACTCGTAGGGAACAGGATTTGGTTGGCTGTATAAGCTCTGGGATGTTGTAAGCTGTCTGTTAGGATGAGGCTGGTGGGATTCCCCTCCACCTCCAGACGACTGGGAAAAGATATGGCAACTGCCCCCGGGGCCCCACTCCGTCCGAGGGCTAGGGAGTGAGAGTGGGGTGCACACCTAGACACCCCCTGAGGGAGGCCCAGGGCCGGTCTGTCAGGGCTGTGTGCTGGCTCAGCGGGGCCTGGGGTGTGTGATCCCTAAGTTCTGCTTGTGATCCTGGCCCCCTCTTCCTTTCTAGGACTCAGCATTTCTGGGGGTGACAGGGGAATGGATTTATTCACCTCTGCCAGCTTCTCTAGGTACAGAGAGGCAAGAAACACCATCTGTGCCAGCTGGAGGGGCCGTTTGGGGTATTTTTAGTAATCATCCCTCAGGGAGTGCCTCATGTAAGAACCAGGCTCTGGGCTGAGCATTTCACACACAGAATCCTCTCCACAAGCCCGTGAGGTGGGCCTATTATTGTACCCATTATGCAGATAAGGAAGCCCTTGCTCAGAGATTGATCTGGCCCAGTGAAGCAGCCGAGAAGGGAAAGCTCTCTGTCAACTGGACCCAGATCCTGATGTGAACGCAGCTGCAGTCAGCTGTCACCTCCGACCACTCCACCCATGTCATCTCAGTCACGCAAGAGGCTCTGTGACACCGAGGAGAGGTAAGCCCCTGAGTCCCAGAGCACGTACAAAGGTGCCCGACTGCTGCCACCATCCAGTCACAGAAGGGCCTATGGGGGACCCTGGTACCTCCAGAGCTGGGCCCTTTCACCCCAAGGTCTGCAGCCTGACCTCTTCATCACGCTCTGTGGGAACTGTCACCCCCCAACCCTTCCATGACAAGGAATGTGCCTCACCAGCCCCCTGGTTGAGAATACCCTGGACAGAAGCCAGTCTTTCACTGGAGTATTCTCATCCGTCAGCAAGATTATTCTCAAAATTTTACGTCTTGGAGTTTGTTTAAATATAAAGTTGCATTATTTGTTCATTTATTCAATAAATTTCATTTGTTGTGCATCTGCTCTGCTCAAGGCTCTGGGGATCGTGGTGAACAAAACAGAATCCTTAATCTTGTGCGATTTAGCTGGCTTTTCCAAATAGATGTTGCTAGTCCCCTGACCTGAACTGCCTGCCTGTAGGACTTGCTGGGGTCTGGCTTCCCCTGAGCCCCTGCCTCATTTTCCATCCCCTGCTGGCATTCTCTGTAGGAGCTCGCCCACACCCTGCTGGCCTGTGCCAATGCATTCAGTGATGGGGATGGCCCCCTTCCTAAGGCCCCTGCCTCTGTCCCCTCAGAGCTCGTCGTCCTTCGTGTACAGCTGAGCTCTATCCTCCCTCAGCTCACCAGGGGTCTGGGCCTCAAACTGCCCTCTTCACGTGACAAGAGAGGTTGCACCCCAGCACCCTTCCTGGCCCCTAGAAATGCACCAGGCAAAGGACCTGAAGAGAATTTCATTTGTTCTTCTGCCCAATTGTCCCCTGCAGTGTAGGTGGGTCCTAGACCCAGGCTGTGCCCCTTACTGTCCCTGCCCGCAGGCTCTGTAAGATCTGCCCAGGGCACTGTGCGGAAATGTGGACAGAGCATCCCCAGGATGCAAAGCAGTACCCTGAGGTTCTTCTGTTCCACCAGAGAGGCCCAGAGAGAAGCCCAGTGTGCAGGACAGAGGGCCTATGCACAGAATGTGCCAGAATGTCTGGGTTCCCCACCCCTGGCATCCTACCCACACTACAGGTCTTAGTGAATCCCCAAGGGAAAGATAATGGGGCTGCTGTTGAAAAGAATATGATAATAAGTCTCATTCAATCACTTGTGTCAACACTCCAGCTGAATGAGAGGCCGAAGAGTCAGGCTGGTCAGCCAGGGAAGGTCAATATTGACTCAGGCCTGCCTCCTGGGCCCAGCTCCAGCCTGCAAGTGCCATGCTGCGGTCCAGCCACAGCTCAAGCCAGAGCAGCCCTCTGACCTCTGTTCACCATACTTAGAATTTCAACTGCTTCCCCAGTCGGCAGCGCTGGGATTTCGTGGGCACAGGATTATCTCCAAGGGCAGAGGGAAGCATGGCAGGGCTGCAGGCCTGGCCCCTCTTTGCTATTTGATTTTCACCAGCTTCCACATAGATAGAGAGGCCCAAATCCTCACCACAGAGCCCTCGGGGCCTCGCCCAAAGAACCTCCAGGGTCCCCTAGTCACAAAAAGATTGTTTTTACAGTTATCGTTTTTTAACTTTATCTCTATGCTGTTCCCCTCCTCACTCCAAATTCACAAAACTGCAGTGAGATGGGCCAAACCTGTTTGACTGAGTGTATTTTTTAGGACGACCAGTGACCAAGGAGAGGAAGGCAGAGTGGAGAAAGGGAACCTACACATACACGTGTATTAAGTGCCCAGCACGTGTCAGACACCGTGGTCATGACAGTGACGACTCTACAAGGCAGATTTTAAGAGCTTAAATCTACAGGTGGAGAAATTGAGGCTCAGAGGGAACTCATTGTCTGAGATGGTGAGAGTGCAGCTAGGATTCAAGGCCAACTCCCAAGCTCTTCCATGATGCCTGGTATACCCTGAGAAGCCAACTGACCTGCCCCAGATCACACAGCTCCTCTGGGCAAAGGTAGGACCAGAAGGCTCAAGCCAGAGTTTCTGGCCCAGTCTGCACTGGTGGTAACAGCGTGTCCAGGGTCACCTATGAACAGGTGAAGCCCTGCAAGGTGTATAGAGCATGCTATTGTTTCTGCCTCCAAAGCCAATTCCCTTCCAGAAATGGCCCCTGCCCAGGGTCGCCTCACAACCCACCCCCCACAGACGCTTGGCCTTGACTTTATCCCCACTGCTTGGCTCTACACCCTCTACAATCTCTTGCCGCATAGCCAGACCATTCTTCACGTTCTCCCAGAGAAGGCTCAGGTGGCTTAACCTCTTCCAAAACTAGAGGCAAGGCAGGCAGGCTCCTGCTGGGGTTGTCCTCCTTTATCAGTAATTACTGTCACTTCACCAGCTGCCTTATGAGGAAGGCATGATCACCCCCATGTTATAAATAACTACATTAAAGTTAGGAGAGAAACAAAGCAACTTGCCTAAGGAATCAGAGGCAAAGAGAATTTGAACCCAGCTCTTTCTGGGTTCCAAATACTGTGCCCGCCACCACTGTGTCCTACATGTGACTGGGAAGAGCTCCCAGCAGAACTCACACCGTGGGCTTCCCTGGTGGTCCACTGGCTGGGAATCCACCGTGCAATGCAGGTTCAATCCCTGATCTGCGAAGACCCCACATGTCACGGAGAAACTAAGCCCATGCGTCACAACCTCGAAACCCATATTCTAGAGCCCTCAAGACACAACTACTGAAGCCCGCACACCCTTGAGCCTGCGCTTGGCGACAACAGAAGCCACTGCAGTGAGAAACCTGCACACCACGATGGAGAGTAGCCCCTGCTCTCTCTAACTAGAAAAAGCCTGAGTGCAGCAACAAAGTCAACAAATAAATACATACATCTTAAAAAAAAAAAAACAACCCACACACCAGAATGGGGCAAGGTAGAGAAACTGCAGCCTACACACCGCAAATCTTCACGTCCTGGCCCCTAGTGTTCTCAGGGGCATCTCCCTCCCAATTGGAATCCACTCACTACGTGTGGGTGAAGTTGGAGAGATTTTAGCAGGTTGGAGAGCTGGGGAGTGAGCAGGCAGGCTGGGATATACAGAGTAGCACCTCTGGCTGGGGCTCTTTCCTGACCTGCTCAGCCCAAAGGCTGGGCCTGCTTCACTCCTCCTGTTTGGGAACCTCTTTCCCAAGCAAGAAGTCAGTGCACTGGCCTTGGTGACATTGCCTCACCCTAGACAGGCATCAGACCTGGGCCAGGAACAAGGGCGGGCCACGTGAAGCCCTGCGCCTACTGTGGGTCAGGCCGTTAAGTAAAATGCACGCCCACCAAGAGGGAGGGACCACTGCCTAAAAGTACCGAGAATGGGCCAGCACAGGGGGGCCACCTGCCTGCCCACTGTCCCAGCCTGCGCCTCACGCAGGTCCCCAGAAGTCCCCTGGACACCCTCCCGGGGCTCACTCACCTCTGGGCCGCCTTCCCGGCCTCTTCTTTCTCCCGACTCCTCACTCTTTAGAGGGCAGAGCTCTCAGGCACCGAGAAAAGGGAAGGCCTGGTACCTTCCAGGGCCAGTCCTCCGAGGCCTGGGTGGAAACAGATCAGAAATTCATTGTGACTAAGGTAGTAAGTATCCCCGCGGATTTTGCGACTGGTCGGAATCCAAAGGCTTCGGAACCGCCCCTCTTCCCCCTCCGCCCGGCCTCCGACCGAGCCATCTTCTTAGGTGCGAGGGGAGGCGGCGGGCTCCCCGCGGGGCGCACGGGGACAGGGGGCGGTAGGCTCAGCGCTCCCTCTGACCGCCTCGCTCCGACCCAGCGCGGCTGCCGGCCCCGCCTCGGCCGCCCGAGCGGGGCGCTCTCTGGACGAAGCCCAGCCTCGCCAGCCTGGGCGCGAGCGCCGGGCGCACACGCGGAGGGAGGTCGGCTCCCGGCGCAGCCGAGTCCCCTCTGCCCGCGCCGGCGGCCCCGCACTTCGGGGAAGGAAAACCCGGGGACCCCTGGAGCCGCGCGCGCGGGGAGGCCGGTCCCCGCCCTGGCGGAGCTCACAGCCCCTCGGCGGTCAGGACACCCACCTGCCGAGCGGGAAGCCCCCGGAGCTCTCGAGAGGCCGCGGCAGCCCGGCCCACCTTCCGCCGGGAGGCGCCGGGAACGATGAGGAGAGGCCGCGCTTACATGTTTGTGCCGCGCCGGCTTCACCTGCCCTGAGTTTGATTTCGGGGTGTGGCCTCAGGTAGGACGCGGCGAACGCAGAGCCCGGGAAAAGTCGCCGAGGCGCGCCAGGGCCGCGGCCAGGGTCCTCTTCTCCCGAGGAGCGCCCTTTTCTCAACCCTTTTTCTCTGGCCGCTCGGCTCCAGCGGCGGCCAACCCTTTGCCTTCCGGTGCTGGTCCCGGCCGCTGCCTGCCGTGACCGACACGTGGCCCCTCGGACCCTGGGCTGCCGCATAGAGGCCTGACCTGGACTGTCCGCCTAGAGCCTCTCTGTAATTAACTCCCTAATTTTGCATTGAAGACGCACACTCGGGCGGTGTGTGCCCACCGGCCCACCCTGGGGAGCCCAGCTGGAGTCCTGAAACTTGCCACCTTGGCCTGTCCTGTCCCATCGGGACGAGGTCCCACGACTGCCTTGGGCTAGCCCCCTTGTGTGGGCAGGAAAGCGGGAATTATAGAGATCCCAATGCCTTTGTCACATCTTGCTCAGTTTTGAGAACCCTCTGGTCTCAGGATTGTAGGGGATCTCTGGGGAAAGAAAGCTTCCAGGAGCCCTGGACCCCCACCCCAACCCCCGCCAAACAGAGAAGATATGGTTCTAAAGCCAGTATCTCCTAGCTGTCCCCGGCAGTGCCCTGGCTGAGGGTTAGGATGGCTATCCCAAGTGGCTCACTTTGGGCTGCCCTTTGCCCTGCCTCTGGATTGGAGGATGGTTTGTCCTGTGTTTATATGTGTAGGAGAGGGGCAGGGGCCATCTGTCTCTTCCCCAAACAAGGAAGTGAGAAGAAGACTGTTGTCCTTGGGTCCAGAGAGAGGGCTGTGTCCAACTGAGTATCCAGGGGATTCTAGCCCAGAAATTCAGTATATCTGGACCCCAGATGGCTGCCCTCAAAGCAGTGGCAGGCACTGTGGACAATGCAGGGATTTTCATCACTTTGAGCACCTCAAACTTTATCATTGAGGTCACTGTTGCCATGTACATTTTTGGTCACGGATTCTCTAGACATTTGTGCAATTTATGGATAAAGAATTTGCATTTTAGGCTCAGTTGCTTATGCACAGTTTACTGTAGGCTCCCACCAAACAGAGCTGAGATGGCCATTGGGACTTCATCACCCCAAACAGGCCTGCACCCTGTCTGGCTGCATCACAAGACCCCGATGTCCATCCTCAGCCTCCCTGGGGAAGGCATGGTGGTGCCAGGTGGACAGGCTGGCTACTGGAAGCCGGTTGTGCTGGGTGGGAGGAGGAGGGAGAAGGGAAGATGGTTGTTAAGGATTTGAAATGAAGTGGGAACCAAAGCTAGAATGAAATGCATTACACCATTGAATCTAGAATCAACACCCTAAATTATTTTTTAATTGACACACATGAATTATTTTCTTTTAATTCAAATACCTTATATTCCAAAACCACAGTTCCAAGCAGGACTTTTGAACTGTTAAGCTACACTAAAGTGTGAACATTATAGTATTATCAGAAATGAACTGGTATTTAATTTGGTTGGATCCAGGCTTGGGTATCCCAGAAAGGCTACAAGCCAAGTCCAATCCTTACCCCATAAGGAGAAAGTCTAGGGAAATTTGAGGGGCCTTTCATCTTTGATAGCTGCAGTGGGGTTTGGAGCCTTAGGAGAGACAGGAATCCTACCTAAGTAAGACTGACTGAGGAAGTAATGAATCCCCCATCTATGGAGGTATTCAAGGAGCAGATAACTGTCTGTCAGATGTGCTAGAGTAAAGGTTCCCATAGTGAATACCAGACTAGACCAGGGGGCCTCTTGGGCCCATCACAGCTCCACCTTTCTGCACTTCCAGGTGGGGTACAGATGGGTCGGCTGCGGTGGGTTAGATGACCCTCTGCATATCTGGATGGCTGGGAGGTGCAGAATGGATCCTGAGTGAGTCACTTCTGTGTGTGACTCTCTCCCCTTCCCCATCTTCCTCTCATCCACTCCCAACTCAGCCCTGCCCAGGAGGAGGCAGAACAACAGTGCCGGAAGTGGCAAGGACAGTCTAGGGACAGCTTCTTCTCCAGCATCTACAAGCCTCCTTCTGGCCTATTCCCAGGTTGCCACCCCAAGCACAGGGAGCGGGACCAGGCACACCCTCCTTTGAAGAGCCTTGGCCGCTGGCATAGGCCTTCCGGTTGAGGGAGTTGTCATGCTCTGCCATTCCACAGATTGGGCAGGAGTGCTGGACTGGGGCACGAAAGCTGGCATTTCACCGTGGGCTGCGGCTCTCAGAGCCCTACCAGCTCTGGGGCACTGGTCAGCCAGCCTGGTCTGGGAGGGTGTCAGGGAGGGCACATGGGCAGGGCAGGCACTCCCTGGCTCTCAGCCTGTGGCTGTTGGGGCCTGTTGTAACATCTGAGCTGAGAGCCCGGGTTAGGGCCAAGGAGGAGAGATACTGATCGACTTGTGGTTTGGAAACACAAACACATTATCCTTTCCCGGCACCTTTCTGCTCTGTGACTCGAAAAGCTTCCTCAGGGTCCTTTCTCTGGATGACTGCCCTTCTCTAATAATAGTAATAATAATGCCTACCGATTATTGAATGCTTCCGATGGGCCAGGCCCCATGCTAAGCTATTTACATGTATCATCACTCAAGTCTTCACAACAACCCTGAGACAGAAGGACTATACTATTGTTATTCTCATTTTACAGATGAGGAAACAGATGAGGCCCAAACTGGTTAAGCAGCCAGCTCAGGGTCTTGCAGTTACTGAGTGGTGGAGCCAGAATTTCAACCCAAGAGTATCTGTCCCCGGTCCATTCTTGTAACTTGGTACTGCTTGGAGTTCCCTGGTTGCAGAGACTGTCAGATATGATTGACCATGCAGGATCAGGTCCGTGGCAGTGGTTGGTGGGGGAGGCACTGGTAATTTGCCTCTTGGTGCCGGCCCTGACTACCACCCAGGAAGGGTAAGTCATGTGGCACAGAGAAGTGTGTGGGGTAATCCCTCCTCCATTTCTGGTGAGGGGATGAAGAACCCCACATAGCCCTGGGTACGAGGGGCAGAGAGGGCCTCAGTTTCTGCCATCTTTCATTGAGTCATGAGCTAGCACTCTGCCTGAAATCCCTGCATCAAGCTGTCTGTCCTTCACAGACCCAGAATGTGCCAGGTACCCCCAGGCCACATGGGGAGTGGGGCCTTGCACCTGCTTGCTACCTGGCTGGAGAAACCCCTTGGGGCCGGGCTCTAGGAGGAGCAGTGACCTGTTCACCCTGAGCCCCTAGTCTGAGGAGAGGAGGCATTCTTTGGAGAAGATCCCTTCCTCCCCATCTCTTGCAGGCTGCCCACTCCTGTCCCTTCCTGCTCTTGGGGTGGCCTGGATCAGTGCCCCTCACCCTGATAGAACTATCCATCTCTCTCCTGATGGGCCTGGGAGGCAACCTCTGAGGGTCTGGGAGAATGAATTGAGAAAACTGAGGTTGCCAAACCCTTGGGGTCTTCAGGCAGGAGGGAGGTCTAATCTAGCCACAGAGATCATGATTTCCTACAGGATCGGAGCCCTTCTGCCTTTCTAGGCTTCCAGCTTGTCTCAGCGTTAGTCTTGATATGTATAATGGGGGAGAGGGTTCCCTTCTTAGGGGGGATTCCCTGATGGCTCAGTGGGTAAAGAATATGTTTGCAATGCAGGAGACGTGGGTTCGATCCCTGGGTCGGGAAGATCCCCTAAAGTAGGAAATGGCCACCCACTGCAGTATTCTTGCCTGGGAAATGTCATGGACAGAGAAGTCTGGAGGCCTATAGTCCATAGGGGAGCAAAGAGTCTGACATAGCTGAGCAATTGAGCGTGCATACATGTGCCCTTCTTCCTTGGGAAGATGGTGGAATGATGAGGTCTAGAGCATTGGGGTACAGGGGCCCCAAAGGACCAGCATCCCCAAACAGGGTGAGAGTTCTTGGCTTTTGGCCCTCACAGCTGCTGATGGGTCCAGGGAGGAAACACCCCTCCCACACTTCATGTATGCACAAGCTGCCACTGGGAGCAGTGGAGCCCAGTTCAGTGCGCCACTAGGGCAGAATCCCAGGGTTCTTCCAGGAGACCTCGATACTAAATTGCTCCAAATCCCAGAGAAAGAACCCCAGCCCCCTCTGGCAGCACCATCTGGGCCCAGTTAGGTTTGGAGAAAGTCCATAGGACTCCCCAGCCTGGTCACTGTCACTCTGAACCTCAGCTGAAGGAAATGACCACACCTTGCCTTTTCCTCAAGCGTGCATCTGTACTGGGCTTCCTTTGCTAACTAGAATACATAGGCCCGTCTGCTCTAAAAGAAAATTGACACTGAGGCTGAGCTTGCCTGAGAGTCCCAAAGGGACCTGGTGACCTGAACGAACCACCCAGATGCAGGGACCACTGTCCACCCACCTCAAGGGGCTGGAGTAGGGGAAGGGCAGACTACAGCACTCTTCCTGGGTACTTGGGGGCATGAGCTATGCTGGGGAGGGTGGCACCGGAAAGGGCCACCTCTGTGCTAAGGACACTCATTTTAGAGACATGATGAATTCCTTTAATATCTTCTCACTATGATCACTTTGCAGCCCCTGCTCTTAATGGGCTCCAAAGTTCCATCCAAATGCCTGTTGTTGGCAGTTTAGCTCTCTAGCTGGCATTTTTGCTGGCAGAACTAACAGCTGGAAGCTTCCTGAATGGAAACCCTTCATTGTCTTTTCATCTCTCCTAGGAACCTCAAGCAGCTGGCCCCAGTCTAAGGTCGGGGCAGGGTTCTGATGGGCACCCATTTCCTGGAGCCCAGGGCCTAACTTTTAGGAAGGACAAGTGAGTTGGAGCAGCAGAAGGCTTGTGCCCAGAGTAGGTATGAACTCCAGCCAGAACCCAGAGAAGGAAAGAGTGAGGAAGCATGATGTTGACTGCCTAAGCCACACCTACAACCCTCTGGGGGACACCTTAGCTCTAAATGCACGAAGTTCACAGACTCTGGCCCATGTGGCCTCTTGGGAGCATTAACGATCTTGCTATAAAGCTTGTGGCACTCCACCTTCTGCATCCGCCTTGGGTCAGTGTGAGAAGACATGACTTGCCACTTGGCTGGGCTGGGCTATACTTAGAGGGTGCTAGGATGGGGTGTGGGCAGACAGCTACCATCATCTTTTCTCAGGGTGTTTCATTTTTTAGTCTCCGGACCACACCTCAACTGTCCTGGGTGGGCCTGTGGGACCTTTATGTGAACACTGACATGAAGGGTCCTGGTGTGCACTGCCCTAC